AGCAAGTACTCAACAGGGTCGAGTTGTACGATGTGCAGGGCATGAAAATACATAAATACCCGAATTTTAGGCATGACACTAAATAATATGTACATATTACTAAATACACCACGACAGTGTTTCGTTTCTTGCGGCTTTGATATACCACTTGCACTGCATTATACGCAAGTAGCAAGAAGTGAAAGAAATGCGAGGTGCAAGAAACTGCAAGAAATATGCTCCATCCAGGTACGCGTAGTATTTTCTTGCGTCTTGGATTTCGTGCATACAAGTCAAAATATCTGCATGAATCCACCTTCTTGCCGTTTCATCTCTTGCACGTGGTTACTTGCACCTGAAACACTGCACCACGACTCAAATGTGTAGCGAATATGTACAGTGAAAGTGTATACGTGACTTCTGACTAACTTGTTGATGATAACTTCTCTTGACTATTAATTATATATGACATCAATTTAACTTTTGGTCAGAAAGGGCACTCCAGAAATGACTGCCCTCGACATCTGGATAAGTACAACTCTAGCTTGCTTATCGTGAAATTTCTGTTTGATGTCACTCGCCGTGGTGACGTTGCCTGGAAAAGTGATGAGTCGACGAGGATTGTGATCATGAGTGGTCCGTCTCACTTTTATTTCGTTTTATGACAGGTCGCTCTGTTGTAGAGGATTAAAGTGAATGAGAATATCTCCACTACTACAATTACGGCCAGACGAGAGGTGCATCCAGTTTGTTGCCTTACTGCACCAACCCAAACCTTAATCCTTAATCCACACTCACCAATAATGGGTTTACTCAAGTCAAAGGCTCACATTCAGAGGAAATTGATCAGGAAAATTTGGCATTAAGGATGCAAAAACTATTCAAAATGTCACCAAAAAAATCAATGTGAAAAATATGGAAAATTTATATTTTATGCTTTCTCTTTTTTAATTTTTACTATATTTAATAAAATTTATTGTTCATAATTTTTGTAATGAGAGTAATTTTCTAAATATAGTTCATTTTCAATTTTTATTCAATGATGTGTATTTTTTTGCGTGAAAGTAGCTTTGCAATTATTTTTTGTATCATACAAATTGTATGCAATTATTTTCATGAAAATATTTTTGTTTGAAAAACGTTTTCTTACATAAACGCTTTTTTACATAAAACATTTATATTTTTTCAATTTTATTTTTTAGAAAATTCAATTTCATATGAAAATCTTTTTCTATCCACCTCTGGAAAACAAATGCTTACATAACTCATCAATTTTTCCAGCTCTCTAAAAACTTGATACTCCCAATTTTTTCCCCCACTTAAAATGGAAACTTTCTTTCCTTCTTTTACCGTGAGTACGCCCAACACGCCAAAACTCTACTTTGTCTCATAGAAGAATGTACTTATTTTAACTTATTTTGTTCCTATTTACCCACTCGGTTTATCTTTTAATGGGCTGTTACACTAAAAATTTCAGCCTCTCCATTGATTGACATTTTTACGTCTTTGCGTATTTCGCGAAATTTTTATGTTCGGGAATGAAGTTGAAGTTGTTTCGAAACATTGCATCATGTTCATCTCTCTCTCTCTCTGCCCGGATTTTCCTACTCGACAACAACTTTGTTTCCCACTTCCATCCTGGTCGGGCACGTACTTTACTCCATGTTTTGACAGCACAAGATGTTTCCCCACAAAGAATGGGATGGCAGGCAGCAAAAAAAAAAACTTGATTTTACGACCAAACGGATCATAAACGGGTCGACAAATTGGTGGATGGGTGAAGCTCCATACATGCGGGCGAGTTGTGCAAAATTACTTACTTAATCTGGCCGACAGAACAAATTATGTGGACGAAAAGTCAAAAATAAATACTTCCAGGAATGCGATGCACGCGGCATGCGGGTCCATTTATTCGCCAAACAAAATCCTGCAAAAAAAGGCCATGTGGAGGGAAACTTTGTCAATTTTTGTGAATGGATCCAACCAAACAAAATACAGTATTTTGAGCTCCGTTGATTCAAGGGCTTGGATACTTGGATTTCTAGGGCACAAAAGGACGAGAATGTATATGAAAAGAATAGAGAATCCACCACTCAATCGAAAATATGTTTTTTGAAGAAATTAACGTTTTAATGATTTTAAAATACTGCATTTTTAAAAGCCTAAAAACGGCGTCTTTACTTAGCGAAAAAAATTCTTCCCAAAACGAGTATGTTCATGGGACTGCTGTAGGCATGTATGTACATATATTCATTTCTATGCAGATTCCCGTCTTTTTGTGGCCTGACGAAACGATGATCTACTTTGATGATCTACTTTGTGCAAAGCTAGTTAACCGAATTTACGGAACAAATTATGTCCAAAAGCCAAACCTAAATAAACCCAATTCATGCCCACATTTATTCCACTGACAAGTCCAAGTCCTTGGAAGGGTCTCTTCGCTGACTCGATTTTTGTGAATGGAGCCTCCATCCTCGGAGGGAACATGCTCTACTTTAGGTGGTCAAGGATCAAGGAAGTGCCTCGAGCTGGTCCACAATGAAGTAGTAAAAGTTAAGGAGATAATATTCATTCATTTCCATTTATGACTCCAACACGTAGTAAGTACTCACTCACTCACTCACTCACCAAAGCCCCATTTTAGGTGAGGTGGCTTTTAGAGCCGGCGAAAAGGCTCTAATTGTGTAAAAAGGAAGAAGAGGAATTGTGTTTCGTCGTTTCATTGGAGGCCGACGGATGGATGGACCAGAGTCACTCGGCTTTTGACTCCTACACGCTCCTTGAAAGCTTTACTTGTACGGACTTCAAGTGGAGGGATTAACAACGAAATGCAGCAGGATATTAAGTGAGTAAGTCTCCGTCGGGGAGATAACGTGTCATAAAAGTTGGGACGAAATTAAAGCGACACAATCCAATTCATCAGGAAAATGAGAAGGAAAATCTGTACATCATTTTTAAAATGTTATCGTTTCAATTCTATGTATAAAGAATGACCGGAAGTGAAAAGTTGGACGATAAAATTAAGGGGCCAACGATCCAGTAGGTCACGCAGAAAATGAAAATGTGTGTACACAATTTTCCAATTTTTAAACAATCGTGTCATTTTCAATTGCATAAAACCGACCGGAAATGAAGTCAATTTTCATTTTATTAAGCATTTTGGGAAAAGTGCGACACAAATTGTTACACATTCATTGCCATCAATTAATCCTTAACTAAGATTAAACAGGGAATATGTGTATTTATTTATGTGCATTTTATCGCCTGGAATAAATCGGTGTCTCGTTACTCGATGTAATTATACGATTTAGACCTCTAAAATGACGCGATGATGATCATGTTGACGCTTTTTTCTCTCTCTCCGTGATCCTGCCCCTCCTGACAAAACTAACTGCCTGGAAGTGCACCTTTTCCGAGCTTTTTCATCTCCGCCGTAATAAAAAAGGACGACGATGGACAATGAAGGAGCCCAACGTACACGATAATAGGAGCTAAAGTGACAGATCTCTCTGTAAAGTCAAGTCACTCTTGTGCAGGGTCCCTTCACTTACATGCCCGTCGTCGGTTGGGGTCCTTTTGCGTGCAGTTTATCCATTTCATATTACTCCCATTATCATCATTTCTATATTATTATCAGGGCCCAGCAGCTGTCCATTTTAGTCAAAGGGTCACCCATAAATTAGGTCTCCTTCCTCCAATTTATTAGAAATTTACAGATTTTTCTCGAAAATATTCCCAATAAATTCCCCGGAAATGAGAACGAGCGCCGGTCTGCTATGTAACAATTTAACAAATGTTTCAATGTAAAAATTAGTTAACCAGTAGATTTAAATGGTTTAAATAAAAATAAAAATATTTATTTAACCATTTCAAATGTTTTGATTTCTTATAAACTAATTAAAGATTTAGAGCATTTTCACTTGAGATTTAATTTCGATTAATTTACGACGTCATTTTTGGGAGTTGCTTAAAGGGAAACCGAAGCGTATCGAGTTGACTTGGTTAGCTTTTCGTGAAAGTCAGGCAGGAGCACTTGGGTCAGGCAGGAGGACTATGTCCATGTGTCACATATATGTGACGATTGTCATCCCTAATCCTGTGTCGTCAATAAATAAATGGGAGGTGTGGATGGATGGATGGAATTCACTCATTTTATTTTATTATTGGGATGGATATGCAGCTCAGGATCAGTCGTACGTGGTCTTTTCTCTGCTCGAGCCAGTGGACACGAACAATAATAAGCTTTTCGATGGATGGATAAGTTTACAGCCTTTTACAATGTACAAATGTGCACTAGTTATCTCCAGAGGACGGCTATTTACCTCCAGCCCATGTTTTTATGCCATGAGGTCAAAATGTTCTCAAAGCTTTCAAAAAATTGCTTAGATCAAATATTTTTCATTACGTCGGAAATATTGAAAGTTTGGAGATGCATATTTCGAGTATTGTTTGAAAAATATGTGGGATATTAAAATATATATATTCTGTTAATATGCGACTTTTTTGTTAAAAAAATTGGACCAAAAAAAACATTACAGGAAAATCTTCCAAGGCATGAGAAACATCACCTGTGTCATTTTTTAAAACAAATTAAAAATATATTTAATCACCGGCGTCAATCTCCTGAACAAAAGTAGACTTTATAATGATTTGGTCCCCATTTGAGAAATTAAGATAGCATAAAAATTCTAAAAAATTGGAGGATCATATTTCAAAGAATATTTTTTTTTAACATAACGCACGAATTTATTTATTATATTCAAATTAAATCATCAATTACATATCATTTATTTCAAAGAATAATTTGTCTAAAAATGTCGGAAATTCCATATTGGTTACATTTCTTTGTTTGCAAATCATAGTTCATATAGATTTTAACAATTTGATTATATATTTTTTTAAGTTGAACATTTGAAGTTAAAAAAAATATTCAATACAAATTTCTAAATTTCATGCCTTCATACATAACCGTCCTCTGGTCATCACTACCGTGCGTCCGTCCACACTGGCTGATGATTAGAGAGAAGAGAGACCTTAAATCTCCACCAAAAGTCACAATCACATTCCTGCCTTTTTGAACTCTCATTCACTCCGCAGACTGCGTGTCGTCAAAACCACCAAAAGTCTCCTGCCTCCCAGCCCTCGAAAGAAAAATTACTACTACTCCTCATCCCCGCACTTAAATAAAAACCCAGTTAACACCAATTTTATCAACAAAGTAAGTAATTCGCACGATAAAATTATACATAAAAAAACGTGATTTGTTTCATTTTATGATCGAACAAAAAAAAGTGTCGTGTCGCCGGTGCCGGTAAAAAATCAGACCTTTTTTCCCTAAAAGTGTACGAATTTAAGTGATGGTCAGACAGGCTGAACCACATTCTTCTTCCTACGGAAAAAATAATGGCAACGTCAAAGTCGTAAAGGTAACAAGTTTTTCGCTTTACTTTTTAATTAGTCACTTTCAGTCTGATTGCACAATTCTGAGTTTTCCGACTAAGTCGGAAGTCGGTAAGTCACACAACGGTTCGAAAGAGAGTTTTTTCCCTGGTAGAAAATTCCTGTGTGTTCACACACACCGACAAATGTGGAGAGAGAGCCATTCGCCGCGGAAGTGGGGACATTGTCCCCCGGAAACATAGAAAATTCCCATATTAATAAGCCCCTCGTCCTCCTCTGAGAAGTTGTTAATGTCCCCATGTGTCCTCCCCCAACTTCCGCCGCCCCTGGAGAGAGAGAGAGTCCTAAACTAAACTAATCCAAACTAAGAGGTTTCTAGTTAACAGATTTAGTAGAGAAACGGTTCAATTCACACACCATTAGTCGCACTTGTAGTAACGAAGTAAAGTGTCAAAATTTAATTTGTATGTGCTCAGACTTCAAACGCCGGATTTTCCGTGGATGGATATGTACTATATGTAGATCAGCAAGTAGTGGTTCATTTCGTTCGGTGAGAAGATGGCCACATAATAATTCCAGGAAAACTCGGGCCACGACTTTCCCCTGATTTATGAATATATCTCTCATTTCGCCAAAGTATAAGTGGATCCCGCCCCCTGCATGATTCATTTATTTGTCGCGTCGTGTCGCAAATCAGGGCGGAAGGAAGTGCTGGGAACCCTTGGCAAATTACGGATTATTTGGCTCCCGGCCACCACACAGAATATAACCATCATCTACTTGATGCACAAATAAATCCTAATGTAACGAGTTCATCCCCGCACTTCGTCGCCAAAGGAATACTTTCAGGACACGTAGGGACACGCTTAATAAACGGGGTAACGATTCATTACCGAGAATTTATAGGAATAAATTGTTTAAAATTTGCTACTAATTTGTCACGGGAGGGTGACAAATTTGAATTTGGGTACAATTTTGGATGGAAATATTATTCGGTATCATTACAATTTTCAATTATGATTACAGTAACGTATAATTTTTGGGAAATTTGGTGCATTTTTCACCAAAATTATTTATTTTAAAATTCAATATAAATAGTTCAATTTTTTGCAAAAACTTTTCGTTTAATAAAATCGCCGAAATATTTCATTTCAAAAAATCAAAAAACGTGCACATATTTTTCCAGATTTAAACGAAAAATTTAGTTCCCAAACGGGAACCAACTTCTCGTGGGATTCTAATTTCAGGGTCAGGTTTTCTTAGAAAATATTCGGTACCACAATATTTGTTACCGAATTATTTAGAGTGTAGATTTTTTAAGGAGAGGAGCGACCTCGTTGTTATTACGCTTTCACGATTTATTGCCATCATTCCTGTTTTAAAAAGTGAAAATTAAAAACGTTTCGGTAGTTGATGAGTTGTTGAGAGCCGTGCGGCAATAAAGTTTCCATGTTTCAAGAGATAAATATGTAAAAAAATATTCTTGTTTTGTGTACCTCGTTCGTGTACCTCGCTCGTTTTACACCGTGTCGCCATGTGTGTGGTCATTTATGGGAAAAATGGACTCTTTTCTTTTCAAGGCATGTTAAAATGTTGCTGAAAAAGAATCATAAAATTTGAATATATTTTTAAATATATTTTTATTTATAAAATATATTTTTATAAATAATATATAATATATTTTTTATATTTTTTATATTTATCGCCGAAATATATTTTTTTACTAACAGAAATAGTATCGTTATTTTTCAAATAATAAAAATCTGGAAATATATTTGTAATATTGAAAACTTATGAAATTTTAACAATGTATGGAAAAGGTTTTTTTCAATCAAGAATCCAGATAAATGGACATAATTGGATAATACTTGACATATTTAGCAGGTCCCAAATTGCAGCCTTATTCTTCCACCCTGAAACATACTAAAGACTCTCAAAAAGGGGAACAAAGGGCTGAAAAATCTCGGAAGCTAATTGATTAAACGGTGCGAAATTAATTAGACGGGGAAAGAATGGGGAGGAGGTACTTTTTAGGAGAAAATTAATAATAATGAGATCGAGATCACAGGGCGACGACATGACTCGGTTTCTTTCTTTCCTTGTGTTCCACTCAGCGGAGGCTTTTAAGATTGGTTTTGATTAAAAGGATTATGGCGGATGAAGCACAAAAGGATCGAGAAGATGAAGATGTAGGAGGAGGAAAAGCGGTTATAAAAAAAGTGTGGTCATGATGATCATCATCACATCATCGTCGTCGTCGTCGTTCTCGTTCTCGTAAGAATAATAGGAGAAGAATGTGTCTTGCTCTGATGGGAAGGAAAAAGACGTTGTAAAGATGCGGGATAAAGATTGCCTGGTCTGGTCGCTTTTATGTGGAAGCATGAGCTCCCATTTGGTGAGGCAACAAGGCGAAGGATTCGAGGAGGAGGAGGGATGAAGGAATAGTCAAGTTTGATTATTATGGGGTATTAAATAAGGGTTCGGGATTGTTTTAGTGGAAAAATGTAGGAGACGTATTTAAATACATGTTGGTTTGTAGGGTTCGAAAATGGCTTGTTTTTTATATTACATATGCGAAAAATAAAGAAAAGACAGACGAAAAATAATAGTTTCATGGACAAAATGGTGTCGTTTTTTCCTATTTTATGCCGGAGATAGAATAGTTTTTGTTAATTAACGTATGCAAAAATTGGTAACATTTTCGCGAAAAGTACAAAAAATTTCATGTTTTTGGACAAATATTAAAGAAATATTTGTACGATTCTTTAAAATATAATTAAATGTAAAAGGAAAACGCCAAAATTGTATTATTAAGGGATGAAAGCCCTTTATAAGATCGTTATGTCCGTCTGTCTGTCCGTCCGTCCGTCTGTCTGTCCGTCCGTCCGTCTGTCTGTCCGTAGCTCCGATAACTTTTGAACGAAAAGACATAGACACTTGAAATTTTGAACGTAAACTCCTAACGTCAATGGACAGGACGAGTTCGAAGATGGACACTGTGACATCGTCACCTGTGACGATGACGTCGTCATAGTGACGAAAAGTGACGAAAAAGTGTCACGTGTCAGTTTTGACATGTGACACATCATTTTTAACTATTTTTCAATGAGGATTTCGAAAATTCAGGTCATTTTGCGATTGGACGTCACCTGTGACGATGACGTCGTCACAGTGACGAAAAAGTGTCACGTGTCAGTTTTGACATGTGGCACATCATTTTTAACTATTTTGATGTGAGGATTTCGAAAATTCATGTCACTTTGCGATTGGATGTCACCTGTGACGATGACGTCGTCATAGTGACGAAAAGTGACGAAAAAGTGTCCCGTGTCAGTTTTGACATGTGACACATCATTTTAAACTATTTTTCAACGTCGAATTCAATGGTGACCTCCATTTTGACCTCAGAGGTCATGTAAAGGTCATAGGACATATCTATGTCAATTTAAACTTAAATTTAACCCCGAATTCAATGGTGACCTCCATTTTGACCTCAGAGGTCATATAAAGGTCACATAAGGGTTATCAACTGTTAAATTTGACACAAACGTCAAAAACACGTCAGTAGTGTCAATCTTAACAAATTTTCGAACAATTTGATATTCACTTTGACGTATGACACAATCCTTTCACCCCTTGGTTACATGCGTTGTAACGGTTTATTTTATAATTATTATTAAAAAAAGATTTTAGGTTGCGATCTTCTCTCAAATAAACTGTAAAAAATTTAAAAATTTGATAACAAAATGTTATAAAAAAATTTGAAGAACCCTGTCATTCAAAACACAGTTTACTTTGTTAGTCGGTGGTCTGGTCTGGTCTTGTTTTCTCGCTTCTTTTCCCATCAGGAGAATCATGTTGATGGCGTTTACTTAATTTTATACGGAGGAGGAGAGAGTGATCTCTCTCTTGATTCTGATCTGATACTCCGGCCGAGCAGGCAAAAGGATTGAAAGGGGAGATAAGCAAAAGGTGAGACTTGGCGAGAAGCAGATTGCTGGTGGGTGCCTACACACGGAGCCTGATTGCACTCTAATATTCACAAGTCGAGGAAGAGTCAATCCACTTTTTCCTTGATGAACACGACGATATTTATGTATTCCGTGGTGTGAGGTATATTGCGTGGACGGGTGTAAATGATACGACCAACATGATGGAGGTGGAACTACTACTAACCAAACCGTGCTGTTTGACAATATCGTAAATGTCACGAGACCATATTTACCACTTGAGTGAAGTGAAAGATAACGGGCCGCGGAACAGTGGGGGGACGGAGAAGTGAAAATCGAGTGTTTTTGACGAGGGATAATTAATGTCGCTGGACCCCTTGCTCGTGAATTAGAGTCGGTAAATATGGACAAATCAAAGCTTACAATGGAGGTCTCCCAACGTATGCTCTCCTAGTTTGAGCAAATTAGTGTCAATCGATAGCAAATTTAATTAGTATAATATTTGCAAAAGACGTGATCTCCCAATGCGCAGGTTTGGCAGAGATATTTACATCCGAAGAGGAGAAAACGCGCAGTAAATTTGGAAAGTATAAGATTTGTCAACTTTGGGGTGCAGTTTCTCCTCTTTGGGTGCAAATCTCTGCCAAATGTGCCAATTGGGAGATCGTGTCTTTTGCAAATTTCATATTATTTAAATGTGGCCAATTGACACTAATTTGGGTCAAAATCCGAGACATACGCTGGGAGACATCTATTCTCAGTATGTAGTGATCAGAGAAATTTGTATGTATTTTCCGACGGGAACAACTAATTGTCCACACGGTTGCGCGGTCACTGGTGCAGAATTAGAGTTAGTCATTAGTTACAGTATATGCCGTAAATACAAGTCGAAATTAGTGACCAGACCAATTTCTGTGTGCGTGGTGGTGGTGACACATTAGGTCTTAAAGGGTTGTATCTCTTCCTACACGGATGTGTAACTCGATACAATTCCAGCTCATCGTGGGCATATTTTATTTCATTAATTTGATCCTTACGAAACTATTTTCAAGTTCAGTCCACCTTTACAACAAGTAAACATCACATCCACCATCTTCTTGGGTGGGAATTTTTATTCTTCTTTTTAAAAAATCAGTACAATTCGACAAAATTATGAGACTTTCAAGTGCAAACTTTCTCCCACAAGCAACAAGCTTCTCCTGGCTTGGACTCTTCTCCTTACCAAAATAGTTCTCCTCTTGGCCATCTTATGTTTGATGACCATTTTTTGCGAATTTGCACACCCCTCCCCAGCCGAGTCTCGTCATCTTCCACGGGGAGAGAGATCTCGTCGAGAGGGATGATTGGGTGTCTCCTCCGGCTGCGGTTGGTTGTTGGCACGACGACCGACCGACCGACCGACTTGAGACTTGACTTAGCAAACCCACCACTTTAGCGACTTTACTTACTCACTCACTCCTCTCCTTTATGTACCCAAGTAGAGAGAGAGAGAGATCTCTTTTTGGGGGCAGAAGCGAGATCTTCCTGCTCGACGGGATCATTCCGTGATCCAAACTCTTCCGCAGCTCTCGTATCACATTTCTCAACCACCAAACCACTTTCTCCTCTCAAGTCCACTCTTTCCTCCCTCGTGGCCCTCGTGAAAGTGCAGAGAAAGCAGTGCACATATCCGGTCCGCCAGGTAGTTGTGGTCCTGTTTTTCTCAACCCTTGCCATAAATAAGAAAGCACCAACTTGTGGAGTGTTTCTAGTCAGTAGTTAACTAAATAAAGTGTGGTAAAGCTTTATTTTCTGAATCTTAATTCCGACCGGAAGTGGGAAAAATCAGTAAATAAAAAACTTGCTAATCAGTTTTCAGACTTTAGGGAATTTAACTTCAAGTGCGTTAAAATTTAAGTTTTCAACGTTGATTTTCTTCGTTCTGATCGGAAGTGGAGGAAATCGTTTAAAAAATTTGGAAAAGAACTCGGATTTTGAGAAAGTTTGTAACTTAAGTGCGTAAAACTTCAATTTTCACTCTTATTTTGAATATTCTGACCGGAAGTGGAAGACCAAGTTGGTAAACAAGGCAGCTTTTGAGAAATTAGTGAGAAATTGTCATCTTTGGGCCTTCAATAGAACTCGTTCCCACTGGATTTAAGCATTCCTGTCGGGGGAAGAAGGGGGACGTCTTCTTCTTGGGAGGGAAATGTAAGCCAAAGCCAAGATTTCTTCTTTTTTTGCCCCCTCCTCCTTCTCCTCGCTCCTGATCAAAATATACTTTTTTCCCATTGTTACACATCCGGAAAAGTTGTAGCACGCCAACGTATAACACACTATCCAGTCGAATAAGTGGAATATGTGTGTAGCAGTGGACCACCGTTTCAGGGTTCCCTCTGGTTTTAACCACTGTCCAAAACAGCCGTCAAAAAACAGTTTTTGCCAGTTTTAGGCAACGGATTTTAAACGTCTAAAATGTTCAAAATAAAAAAATGGTCAAAATGTCCCAACTTCTTCAGTATTGAATCTTTCGACAATCCGTTGACGTATGTAGATCTAATCTCGTATTAATTTTGAGCATTTTGGTCTGTAATACGGCATGGTTTAGAAAATTCCTTAATTTCTCATAAGAAAATACATGAAAGCAAAAGCTTTTCCATAATTCGTGGTATTACACACACCAAAATGCTAGAAATACAATCCTCAACCAAGAACTTGTAACATTTTGCCCCATTTTCCAATGTTGGACGATTTTGACCATTTTGGTCCAGTCTAAAAGCAGTTTTAGACGCCCGCAACGAAACACTGAAGCGTTTCCCATCCACTCTCTCGTGCATACGTACAAACTGGGTGAAGATTCATAGAGCAAGTTGGGATTAAAAGACAGATTTACAATGGTGACGACATAATAGAAAAGTAAGAGGCGGTAGTAAGTAGAGTGGTCTCCCTCTCGTGCCAGGGAATAGTTTGCGACAAGGACGACGACGACTTTTCGACGAGGACAGAGGAGGAGGAGGAGGAAGGACATTGAGATATATTGGAGCAAAGAAACTTTTGACTTTTGGGGTTCGCTAATCGTAAGTTATAGAGTCGCATGGAAAACTCACCAAGTTGGGCGGACGACGACTTACTACCTCTTAAGAGAGGAAGTAGATTCACTTATTTCCACGCTTTTTTACCCATTCCATCCATATTCAGATACGGTGGGGACATGCAAAAGAAGATACTTTTTTAGGGGAGAGAGAAAAGTAGAGAAAGCGTCTCAATGTGCCCCGGTGGACAAGTTGCGTTGCGTACGTAGAAAGGAAGTAACATGTAAAGAGAAAGAGTAGGTAGAAGGGTTTAGAGGGAGAAAGTAGTACGTCTCAATTAGCCCCGCTTAGCAAATCTATCGATTTCTGGTAGAAAATGGTTCTCTCATCCTGTTGAACATTTGTATACGCGTAGAACTGATTTCACCAGGTTTTTGTATGTTTATAATTAAAATATTTGTGATTTCCTTATAAAATTAAGATATTAAGATCACCTCTAAGGTACGAATCCTCAAAAAATACGAATTTCCAGGTTTTCGTAACTTCATAAATCCCCAAAAAGTACAATTTCCTCCCTATAAATCGATCATATCAAATGTACAAATCTCCTTAAATCGATGCAACGATGCAATATCCAGAAGTTTTGAGTATAAATATGCACACGCATAGAATTGATTTCACCAGTTTTTTTGTAACTTAACAAATCCGCAAAAAAGTAGGATTTCTTCCCAGGAAATCACCTCAAATGGATCTTTGGGGAAGGGAAGAATGTCCAAAAATTATTATTGATAACATGTCATCGGCCAGATAACAAATACCTTTCTGCTTCTCCTCTGTTGTTGTTTCTTTGTTCTTGTGGTCTCATGGATATGTCAGTGCTAAGTATGTGCTCTTGTTTGTCGTGCAGATGGAGGAGTCCTCCTACGTGCCTAACTCGTCCATCCCACCCGCACTGGTCGTCTTTTCGCAGGGAGGCTGTTACGGGGATGCCATCAGAATGCAGAGGCCATTCGGTGCTCAGGTATGTATTAAGTGACATTCTTCTCCCACGACTTAAGCAACTCGCCATGGACACAATCCCCCCCTTTCTACCTACGCCTTTCTACGCCAGGACATTGACAGCATTCCGGATCAGAGTTCTCAGTAGTGCAGGGAAATCTAACCAAAAACAGAGCAAGACGAGGACAAAACAAAGGAGCAGAGATACTTTTACTTTTAGTTTCACCATCCCAATAATGAAATGAACCTCTCGTCCTTAATTTCCCTTCCTGAGCACGCCACCCACGAAAAGTGGGTGCAATATGAGCTCTGACGCACTTACAATTTGCCAAATCCGACCCGCACGGCCTCCACCATATCACACTTTCTACCCGATCACAATAATGAACAGTGTTGCGTTTCGTGTGGGTTTACTACATTTCTTGCAATAGGCAGCAGGAAACGCAAGAAATGCGAGGTGCAAGAAACTGGGAGAAAGTGCAGGAAATATGCGCAATCTAGCCACGCACGTGTGAAGTATAACGTAGTTTCTTGCGCCTCGCATTTCTTGCAGGTCAAAATAACTGCAAGAAAACACTCTTTCTTTCGGTTATTTCTTGTAAGTGATCACTGGCAACGAACAAAACACACTGGAAATCAAGCTCTTGTCCTTAATTTCTCCTTAGAAAAGAACAACATGCGACGTCCGCCCGTCGACTTTTATGCAGATGAGGTGTCACTCCAAAACTGGTCACATCCGACCCGCACAGCCTCGCGTATTTATACAGGCACGATTTTAGTTGACACTGGATGTTGTTTGAAATGAACTCTGTTGCCCTTTGGCCTGCCTGCGTAGGAAATATGTCCTTCCTAAGAAAGTAGTCGACTCCTCGCTCTTGTCCTTCTGTTCTTGGAGGGAGGAAAGTGTTCTTCTCGTATTAATTGCCTAATAATCCGCGCTTGAGTGATAAAGTTGCTTCGCGAAAGGGTTAACTCTCTCTCTCGTTTAGTTTACCTGGAGTCGATTCGCATACCAATTTCCTCCTCCTTTGTCTCGAGAAAGAGCAAATTATACGAAAAGTTACTTTATTTTATGGCCACCGTCGGTATGTATACATTTTAAACGAGCCGAGCGGAGCCCACCTTTCACAGGAAGAAGTCAGACGCCACTTACTTATTGGGAAACACGGGAGCAAAAACCGGGCACAGTTTGGCTTATTGCATAGTTGCATACTTGTTCTGGTTTCTGGGAAAAAGGAACAACATTTCATTTAGTGGGAATATATAATATGGGGCACAAAATTGTCACCGAGCAGTAAAGACGAAAGACCTTCGACATCTTTTTGATACAAAGTTTGCAATAAAAGATAATTTGGCGTCGAATAGTGACAAAAATTTTATGCAATAAAAAATTTTCAAATTTTTTCCTACAAAAGCATACATGAATTTTTCAATATTTCAAGAATTTTAGTAATTGAACTGCAAAAAATTAAGGGTTGAATTTAAAATAATAATTTACTAGTCCGAAAATTCATGCACTAAATATTAAATTTCTACAAATTTTCATAAAGACACATTTTCTACCATTGCGTAACAAATCGTTGAAGATTTTGTTACCACATTATTTATTTTCCTCTTTGGGCGGAAGGCGGAATTCCTTAATTGCTTGGTATTCAGATCAAGTTTTGGAGGAGGAGAAGAAGAAGATACAATTTTATTTACCGGGGGATTTCCGGTGGTCAAAGTGGTAATGTAAAGTTATGTCATTTCTGGTGCGTCCCTATTGACAGGAAATATTAGTCGGCGAGTGAAAAAGTCTAGTTTTTCGTTTCCATTTCATATTTAAATGTTTCTCGCATTCCTTCAGTGAGCCTCCACCTTGGGATTTTTGTCACGTACGGGAATGCTAAGAGGTAGCCGGGGTGGTAGTCAGTAATAAGCCCTGTGCTACTAAAAGTCATAAAAGTAGCCCATTTTTCCCATCCACTGGGTATCTAAAAGCATGGAAAACATGTAATGAATTTACTTATTTCGAGAAATATGTATACACGAGCCGCGTATTAAGACAGCAATTGGATGAAGACGGTGTAATCAATTCCGGAACGCTGAGAAAGTTTGACGGGTGTTTGATTTGTGGAGGAAATTATTGCGGAGGGATGAATTCAGTGTAAATAAAAAACTACCCCCGACCGATTGGACGGGAAACAGGGTGTCTTTATTTCAAATCATTTATGATGAACTATCAATTTTTATGTAGGTATGGATGAGGCAAGTTTTTCATGTAAAAAATAAAATGAAATATTTTGCATGCAAAATACAGAGTTGTGTTTTTTAAGATCGTGTGTTTTGTAAAAAATACAATTAGAAATCCCTACTACGCCTAAGCTCAAAGGGAATTAGTTCATTAATAAAAATCGCGTACGAAACGGTGCTCAATTAAACTTTATACCGTTAAAATTATCCATTTAATGTTTTCAATTTTGGGCATTATTTTGCAAAATTTTAACGCTGTTACAAAGAATTGAAATTATATTAACTAATATTCATCATATATAGATTTGTTGAACTAAAAATTTGCACAGCTTTACAGAACTGCAATTTTTATAAAACTGTCATTTTTTGCAGAACTGGACAATTTTTTGTAAAACTGCATAATTGAACGCTTTTACAACCAATTGAATTACACCGATATTACTTTATATTTCCTGAAAATTTATCTAAAAAAAATTCTATTTTTTCAGTCATCCGACGCGAAGGACTTGAACCTGTCGTCCTTGTCCCCTTCATCCTTCGGCCTTCGCCCCATGGACTCGTACCCTGGCCTCCCCGCGGGCCTGGTCCACCTGCAAAACCCATTTCTCCACCCCGCCCTCGAAGCCCGTCTCCCCTTCGGCACTGGTGCGGGGGCATTTCGACCCGTCGTCACCTCGTCGTCCTCCTCCTCCTCGACCGGAGGGGACGACCGCATCATCAAAAACCTCCCCTCCGCCTTCTCCACCCCGAGTTTGTCGAATCGCAGGAAACTGGAGGCATTAGCGGCCGCCGCGGCGGCAGAAGAGCAGCAACACAACAGCCGGAATTCTCGCCCTTCCGCCGGCGGCGACAATTTCGCCCAGGGGGCAAGCGGCATGGAAAAGTCGTATCTTTCCAATGGGAATAACAACAATCATCGCCACCGGTCCTGCTCTCCCGTCAACTGCTCCCCCAACAATGCGGCCGGGCGGGCAGAGAAGCATGAAGATCGCGACGGAGAAGGCGACTACGAGGGACGCGACAACGTCAATGGCACCCCCAATTCCGACATCACCGACAGATCAACACCGGATGAGGGCCACATTTCGTCTAAAAGTAAGTACAAGACTCTTTATTTTATTTTATCTGTGGAGGAAACATAATCTTAAGAAGTTTGTATCATCCTCCCCCATTTGCTTGTAGATACACATGCTCATACATAATTTCAGGAAATTTGCCAATTATTTCAGAACTGAGTCAGTCACTTATCGCACTTCCACAAAAGAAGTGAAGAGAGAGAAATGTTTGATTGCTGAATAATGAGGTAGAAAAAGTGGGAAATATTCCGCGGAGGGAGAGCAAGTTGGGTTGGCGATCTTTTCCACGGCGTAGGAATTATTCTGCGAGGAGGAAATGCATGTTTTGTTCATATGCATGCATCGCATTCACGGATCTGAAAAAGTTTAGCTCGACTTTCCTGACTTGGAGGAGAGAGCGAGATGAGCGAGGCGGAGGAAAAGTTGCCAAGTTATTTTTTGGGGGAGAAAGTCTTCCTAAATAGAAAAGTGGAGGGCAGAGTGGTGCTGGTGATCCCAGGGTTGAACTCACTCCGAATCGGACACTCTTAACAATTCAGAGGAATGGTGGATTTGGTCTCGCCGGCATTATTTAGCGTGCTTATCCAACGAGGATAAGTATTTTCCAGGGGTGGGGAAAATACAAATATTTTGTGAAAGGAAAAGCATTTTAAGCAGTGGCTAAAAAACACGGAAATGTACATTAAAAGGAAACCAGTCATACGAAAATTGAGGTTTTGTGAAGAAATTAACGTTATACCAGTGTAAAAGTACATTGTTTTCACGATGTTTTAAAAATATTTTGGCATGGATAAAAAGTTAATTTCGTCACAAAACCTGCATTTTCTTTTCATATCAGTCGATGTATTCTTAAGTAATATAGGTTTTCATCTGTTTGTGGCTTGAAATCCAACCTCCTTGGAAGAAGGGAGCTGAAAGTACAGTATTTTGGCAGCCCCTGTCCTTGTCGTATGTTGAGAGAGAGATGAAAGGAGGAAAGTGGTGGGGATACAGTGTTGTCCGAACTGTCGGATGAAGTCGGTTGTTGATCTGACACGTAATTTCATTATCTCGGTCTTATTCCATTCCTTTGTTCCATAATTTTTTCTCTGCTCCCGTTTCCTTCCAAACACACAGCCAACTTTTTCCTCCATTGTCCAATCCCCGAAATTAACTTTTCCCTTGACACCACCACCGCCACCAAAGCAAATCCTCCCCCCAAATATTTCGCAAAACACAAATTTCTCCAGTGAGTGTCTCACCCACTCAATAATTTAGCGTACATAGTGGCGAAAAATGGGCGTAAAGTGGAGAAAGTGCTCTCGCGACACTTTTTTATGCACGCATAACTCGTTAATAATTGAGGTCAAAAAATGGAGAAAGTGTCAGCACTTCTTTCTTCCCCTAAATTACTCATCCTTCGCGGCGTGTCAGTCTTAACCAGATTTTTAGCCAAGAGAGAGAGAGGGAGAGAGGAAAAAGTAATAATTCCCTCGTTTTTGAGTGACACTGAAATATGGGGTGGAAGGCAAGGTCTAAATTCCAAAGTGGTTAGGAACACTTATTAACAAGAAGAAGAGGAGCAGTTTTTTTCCGGAGAGAGGCATTTAAAAGACTCGTTCACCCAGGAAGGAAGAAACATGATGCACTTGATAGCGGTTCCAAGACAGGCAGCACCACTTACTTTCTCCACCCCGCAAAAAGAGGTGCAGGATCCAGACGTAGCTGATAGTTCACCAAGCGCCGCACAAGTCGTGCGGGGACAGAGGGGCTGGTCTCCTAGATTTTGACCAAACAAGTTCTGGCTGAGATATTTACATCCGAAGAGGAGAAAGCGCGCGCCTAAAGTTGACAGAGTATACACTTTCCAAATTTTCTCCTCATCGGATGCAAATATCTCCGCCGAAACTGGTTATTGGCAGATGGTGTCTTTTGCGAATTTCATATTATTTAAATTTGTGACTGATTGGTACTAACCTGCTCAAAATCTGAGAGCATACGCTAGGAAGGAGGGTTTCTCATTTCTTAGTTTTCAAAAAGTTTTTTTTTTAGTTTCCACCCTAATTTTTAGGTTGACTTTTAACCAAAAAATCTCAGACTTACATACTAAATACTTCGTGAAGTGAAGCCTTGTCCCCACTGCGTTCCGCGTCTCCTGGCCTTTGATAAAATATGGTCTGTGAGGCAAGGAAAGATTGCGGATAGATGAATGGGGCGCAATATGGGGGAGGAGATGATGTGTAGGTGTAATATCACCACCGTTATGAGAGGATTTCAAAGACTTTTTGCCTCCATTGTGTTCACCGCTTTCACCCAGCAGCAGGGTACACTTTTTCCGATATGAATCTACTCCCTACTTATCTCCTTCACGACCTATTTGTCTCCTTCATCTCGAGGATGACAGTATTGTTCTCTTCAATCGAGGAGCAGAATCTCATCGCGGCAATTACACCCAACTTTTTTCTTCTTGGTCACTGTAGACACGAAGGTCGAGGAAGGTTGCTTGATTGACTTGTACCCAGTTTCTGCCTGCCAAAACTCTCCAGTCCGATCCATGTAACGTTATCTGGTCGGGAGGACGGAGGAGGAGAGATCTGATTACTTGCGACATTTTTTGTGGGGAGCGAGGAAGGAAGGACGGAGGATGTGTTGAAACAAGATATTGCGGGATTAGAGGAGTCGGAGAAGATGCCGTTGTCAACTTAAATGTCAATTAGACCCTCGACCTCTGCCCTGGCCAGATTTATTTTCTCCCAAAGAATGCCCTCCTCTCCTTCTCCGACTTTCTCCTGGAGAGATAAACTGACTTGGGTGGTGGTGAAATATATGAGGTTCTCGTCCTCCTGCTGGTCAGTGCGGTGCGGTGCGACTCGTCCTAATGGGATGAGTGCCCGGTTTGCTTATTTCAAACAATAACATAATGCTTCATATTAAGGAGAAGGCAAGGTGGATGCTGACAGCGGACAGGAGAAAAGACCCGATCAACAATTTGGTAGATGTGACCACAAAAAAATGACGGTTTTTCGATGGTGGAGAGTGGTCCTCGTCCTGGTCCGATTAGTACTTTTTTCGTCGGCTTCTTGGTGCTGCTGTCTTCTTGGTGGTCTTCTTCGTGACCTGTGACAAGAGGGACAATATTGACCTCTTCCAACGCATTTACTTCTCTCATATAGAACGCATGAAGCAATTTCCCATCTAAATCAAACTTTGTCGCCGTAGACAAGTCGTCATTTCCACCAAATCGGGCGTACATACGTTGGACGGTTATCATGACAAGTTTCGAGCCGTATGTTCCTAGTGTTTATCGGGAAGGAGGATATAATAATAATGACGATGATGATAATAATAATAACAGCAATAATAGCGTAGTAGTAGTAGCAGTAGTAAGTAATGTCATTCTTTCTTTGGGAATAAACGGGCACATTTTTTTTCCGTGGAAAGAAAAAGAACAAGAAGATAAATTCCGAGAGTGGCAATAATGTCGGACTGGTGGGAGTGGTGGCCGTGGTAAAAAGAGAGGATCTGCCTGACCATATATTTATGAGGAGAGAGAGAGGAGCATTTCGTGGCTTAAATGCTCACTCCGTGCGCAATATTGTATGAATTTATGTCCCCCAAATATTAAAGTATCCGCTTCCTCCTCGTTCAGCGTATACTTTGCGCCGCTATGAGCAATCATCATTCCTTTATTTTCATTATCATCGTTTCGTTACAAAACTCTTATTAAAATCTGACAATGTAGCTTTCCTGTTCGGTGTCGGATTAGGAAAAGGGAACTACCGGACGAGGTGACTTTCTCCGGAATTTTTTTTAAAAGAAAGTTGTGCTATGTAAAATGGGTACGATTTTTGAATATCAAAATTTTTGGTTGAAAAATTTATCTATTTTGTAATACAAAAATATTTCTATATTTCAAAATCTAAGTTTCTCAGTAAGCTAAAATCTCAGCCAACTCGTTCATCCCAATTTTTTTTAGACATCCGACTTCTATCAAAATTTCTGGTTAAAAGGTTTAGCTTTTTATCAAAATTTGGATTATTAAAGTTTCAGTATTTAACCCAGCCAACTCGTTAGTCTCAGCAGTTTATGTTGGAAATCTCGATGTTTACCAAACTTTCTGGTTAAAAAATCTATTTTACTGTTATTTTTATAAAAATCAATTTTTTTTAATCTTACTTTTTAACCCAAAACCTCCGCAATTCTGCAGACGGATACATGTCTTTCCAAAGATACATAACATAGGTACATTTGGCGGAGAAAGTGTCGTTCCCCTTTCTCTCAACGTCCGTGGACAGGATTTCCATACCTCAAGAATCCAATCTAATCCACCAACCGGATATTATCGTCGTAATAATAAGCGGCGAGAATAATGGATCTGCATGTGATCTCTCTCCCCACAAGATTCCCTCCTTGGGTGATACTCAGCATCGCCCAAGCAAGGAGCAATAATGGCAGAACACAAGTATTTATTTTGACTGGAACCACTCTGCATAGACACACAAGACGTCCGTCCGTTCGTAAATAGGTGCACATTTGGCCAGAGATTATTCCCAGTTAACGCCATTTGATGCTTTTATTATCATAATCATTACGATTATTGCTCCTCCGACTACATCCACCAACCAGGCAGGCAGGCAGACTCCTTGAGATATGTGGACAACTTTCTCTTCTCCGCCTCGTTCAGATTTCCAATCTCGAGTGGAAACAGAACACCGGGAACGATCTACGACCAACGAGCAGAGGAAAACACGCTAATAAATTCCTCTCCTTTACTCTCGCTCCCTTACTAGCAGTGTTGCTTTTCTTGCGGATTTCCCACATTTCTTGCACTGCAAAGCAAGAAATGCAAGGTGCAAGAAACTGGGAGAAAGTGCAAGAAATATGCGCCTGATGAAGTACAGCAGCGGAAGTATATTCTTGCACCCTGCATTTCTTGCAGGTCAAAATCCCTGCAAGAAACCACTATATTTCTTGCAAACGGTTACTTTCACCCGAAACACTGCTGGCTAGATTTTAAATTGAAAACTTTTCTCTCTCACA